AGAATTAATATGCGTCCAGATAGATGCATTGTTAAACGTCTAAAGAAGGAGCTTGAACTCTTGTCATGAGATCTATGTGCTAGATTTGTATGTTTAGTCTACACAGTTTTGAAGTCATCCCACGTGACTTCTGAATTGTGGGACAAACGGGTGTCCCCGGTACTGTTTGTTTAGACCTGTGCTTTTCAACTGGGGTGATTTCCCTTCTCTCTCAGGTGCCATTGGCAATGTGTGTAGACATTTTCATTTCCCTGACCAAGGATGCCGCTAACTTGCCATAGGGAGCAGCCACTGAGGGCGGTGAACATTTTACAGTGCACAGATTACCCACTGACCACAGAGAATGACCCAGTAAAATGTCAATAGTGTCAAGGTTGAGAAACCACAGGTTAGACCAAAAGAAAAGTTTGATTATGTGTATTATCTTCATTTTGGGACACATATGCTTATGCCATTCAAAGAATGACCACAGTTTAGTATAATGTCTTCTTAAGGTAGATCATGGTTTCGCATTATTTCATTGTGACAATTCATAGCTATGCCATATATATCTCTTTTTGATTAGATAATGTAGACAAATGAGAGAGGGGTGTGTGTTTATGTGTGTGTGTGTGTGTGTGTGTGTGTGTGTGTGTCTGTAAGGCGAGGTGTGGGGATGAGTGTATGTGAGCATGTGTATACATATGACGGTGTGTGTTTAGCATTATATGCATCTCTATTTTTAGTAAAATATCTGTTCCTAAGTAAAGAGCTCCCCAGAATCCTATATAATATTACGGAATGCTCAGAATGCTCTGTTACTGCTAAGAAGTTGGATATTGTTTAATTCTACTTATCTGAAATTAAGGCTTTCAGATCTGGGCATAATACTTTATCAGCTTTGGTCAATTATAGTTTAATCCTTCTGACATTGAAGTTTCAGCTCAGAAGATATGTGGGTTACAGTAGATGCATTCAGCCAGAAAACATTTAATTACTTTCAGGACATATGCCAAGAGATGATATCCCTTCCTACCACCAGACCAAAATTTAAAATTCTGAGTCGGGGGAGAGGGAGGGGGGCGGAAATTAGATTGTTTCACAGGGGTGAGGCGAAAGGAAGGATGAAGAGACTGAAAATTACCTGGATAGGAATTTTCACTTTATTTAATCTGATTTGAGAATTTCATGGGTTCTCGAGATCCTGAACAAAGATAATGCTGTTTAATTGTAACTATACTTCAATAAAATTAAGATAGGTGAAAAATTAAGTCATTCCAGAAGAACGAAATCTTTTAATGGAAGGCAATTCTTGGACACATATGCTCAATATGTAATATTTTACCAAAAGTGTATACAAAATTGTGTGTCTAAACTGCATTATTCATACACAGGAAGTCAGAGGAGTGCTCACTGGGTTTTGTTTCTGTGCGGTCAGTTCACCTTTACAATTTTAGCAAAGGTAGGGAGGGCCTGGAGGAATGGCATATACTGCTCTTTCAGAGTGTAGAGTTTGGGTTCCCAGCACCCACAGGGCAGCTCACAACTGCCTGTAGCTCCAGTTCCAAGGGTTATGGCACCCTCTTCTTGCCTCTGAGGGTACTTCATGCATGTGGTGCACATACAGACAAGCAGGCACACACACACACACACATGAATAATAAATACGTGGTTACAAAGGTGGGGAGTACATGCTCTAAGATGGCAGATGTTCAGACAGGGACCTTGATTTGGCTTTGTGATGTCTCATGTCCTTGCCTGCCCTTGACTTTTGGCTAAAAATTTGTGTAGGCGAAATATAATTTGTTCTTGAAGAAATCTTGACAATTTGGCTTCACATGGGAAATAACTGAATTCCAAATTTTCCACAAATGTACTTAGATGAGTCAAGTTTCATAGAACTGGCTGATTCAATGTCAGGAATATTTCACCCTTCTAGTGGCTTCAGTAGTGGTTGGAAGCTTCACTAATAAGCTATCTATTGTTACATACAGCCCCATTTCTTTGTTGGAAAGCCAACCCCCTATAGTGATAATTTTATGCTCGAAAATATCAAATTTTAATGGCGAATCCTTGTTAGGACAGATCTAAGGGGAAAATCAGTCACCAGTTCACCAAAGGTCTTCACCCACAGTAGAGGTTGGCCCTCAGATATTATGGGACTTTGACAAAGCCTTCCTCAAGGATGGAAGTGAGTTAACAATTTTGAAGCATCTGCAACCTAGACCAACGTGTTGAATTAGGTGAGCAGTAAATGCAACTAGCAGTTTTGGCCACGTGATCCTGTTGTGTGATTGGGAGAGGATGAGGCATGGGGAAGGAGAAGGTGAACTTCACTCCAAAGTGTCAGCATTCAAAGGGTCATGGAGGTCTGTACTCTCGCCCGTGCATCCCAGTTCCAGCTGTCACTGTCCCACCATGGGAGCTGGTTTCCTTGGAGGGTTGGGCTAGTAGCCTTGGGACTACAGAGGTCTCAGTGTGGAAAGGTACTGAGAAGGGCATTTTGAATCACCTTGAATGTTTTCCTTTGTTTTTTGCCTAAACTTGTACCCTCTAAATCTGGGTGTTCTGTGTCAGAATCTGGTTACCCTGACCCAGTTGTACCTCTGAATGCAATTATAAAAAGCAGATCTGTTTGCCTTGTAGGTAGGTAGACTTTCTGAGTCCCTGAAGTTAGGGAGATATCAAACATTCCACACTTCCTGCCTTGCCTCTTCGAAAGCCTGGAATTCTGAAGTCTAGAATGTCCATCTATAAACTCCCAAGTATGAGGCTACAACACTTAGGCTGAGCACTGTTTTTAAGTGGGAGGGGTCTTAAACCTATAAACTTCCCCCTCAACACACTGTAAGAAAATAGATGGTATCTGCCTTAATCTCAGCCTTGACGTGTCTTTTGACATTTTTACACACACCCTGGGGATGAGAGATTGACACATGCACATGAATGGGAAGCTCATTCAAACATCACCTCACTCATTGCAGTAGGGAGGGAGCTTGCTTTTCTTTCCTCCTCTGATTTTCTGCTTCCTGTTGCCAACGTCTCCAGATTCTTCTACCTTTAACACCTGAGGAATAAACAACATATTATAAAATGAATTATACTATCTGTGGGCATTTGAGTAATAGCCAAAGCCTTTGACTCTAGCTTTTTAGAGCACAAAAGAAGAATTATATTTTATGACTGCTCATTGGCCTGTGAGCCTCTGCACCCATTGATCTCTCTGCTGTGTTAAAAGCCTTTCTGATTTTGCTGTTCAGCTGAAGCTGCTGGAATTCAATCAATGATGCAAAATTGTCTAAGAGTTTTACGGAATAATAATCAAATATATCGACACAGTCTCTTCAGCTTCTGTGTAATTAGACTGGTTTGATATCTGCCATTTTCAAATGATGTCTCCTGTGGCGCCAAGAAACATCCAACAGACTTGACTTAATCTGAGGCAGAGAAAACCAAGAGTCAGAGAATTCTGTATTTCTCTACACAGTAAGAGAAACAGAAATTGTAATGAAAAGTGGGAGAGAAAACAGTGAGTTTTCACTGGAAAGAAGCACTGGGAGGGGTTCTCAGTCTCAGATCATAACTAGGGCGAGAACAAGAAAGAGACTGTTGTATTTAAATGCAGCCCAAGGAAAGGAATGGTTTCAAGGATTGGAAGGGAGCTGTGCTGTGATCAGTCCTTAGGGTAAAAAGATGCCTGATGCAGTGTGAGTGTGGATTGCGAGGTCCCTGGGGGGCAGACCTAGGGCTGCACCTGTTTTCCCACATGGACCCTGACAGTTCCGGAGTTCCTCAGCTTTTTATCCCCTCCAGGTGGTGCCTCCTGGGTGCCTGAATTTTGTGAAGAAAACATCTGCATAACCCTCTGTCACCTGTCTTTTGGTTCATATTCCTAAAGTGAATTATTAAGTCAGCACTCCTGTCATGATGATGCCATGGTGGCCAGAAGGGTCACCTTGATGTTGACCCTGGTCACTAAACACTATGCACAGCAAGAGTTAATGTTAGCCTCCTGCCTTCAGAATAATGTCCGAGAGGCAATAAGATCCATCATTAAACAGACTTGTATGTATTTTCCCTCATGTTTTGGTGAACACACACACACACACACACACACACACACACACACCACATAGAAACACATGCCTTATGTTATTTATGCCCATGGAAAAGTGGCTGGTTTGGTGGGGTTGGGGAGTGGCAGAGGGTGCCTTAACTTTTCCTGGCTCAGCTCCCCACTTCCATATTCTTTCTTGTATCTTGAACCTTACAAATGTGTCCATGTCTGTCCAAGTTGTACCTTTATCATCAGCAAGAACCCTTATAAATGTAGCAAATGTGACTCTTTTACAGAAATGCACAATAGTGTATAGGCCTTGGAGAAGTCTGATAATGGTATGTAAATATCTTTTGTTGAAGTTATAGAAACTTTTGGTCTTTCAGATTTGTAGCTACGGGAAGATTTATAGAGTAAGAATGTTTCTCCAGAAAAGTCCACGATCCGTGG